CACTCGTCTGTTTTTAAATAGCAACTACATGGTCTCTATTTGATGCAGGAAAATTCTTGATCCTGGATGTAAAAATTTCGGAATTCATGCACAAAAGGAGACCATCTCCAGTTAAAGAGGAGCTAAGGAGGAGAACCTCCTGCCAATGGTTCCTGCTGGTGAATTTCCTCATAGAAGTCATAGAAGTCATCATAGAATGATGAAACCATAAAATACATTGAGTGCTTGTGAAGCGCAAACAGAAAACATTGATTCTGGATGAAATTCCACACGTGACCAATTTTTGTGTCAGTCTTTCCCAGCTGGGTTTGTGTCTTTCTTGAAAGTTGCAGATGTATTTAGAGACACTCAGAATACTCTGTTGTGTAGTTGCTGAAAAAGCAAGTTCTCACATACCAAATAGAGAGCCTTCGTCAAGAAGGGAAAAACAAGCATTCTTAACCTTAAAAAAGAGGTATAGACTGCCATGTTAAAAGGGCTAATATGTCATTTTATGTTAGTCATTTAAAAGGTGCCAGTCCATGGGTGGAGGGCTACATCGCAGGGCACACTGGCCTGGGCAGCAGCAGCAGCAGGAGCCCCCTCCAAAGGGGGAGGGGGTGTAGGAGGAAAATATATATGTGTGTCAACTGGAGCATCAGGTTTCCAAGGATTCAAAAAAAGTTGAAAAATCCAAATATGCAGGGGTGAATATTGGAGGGGATTTCCCCCTCTGCTGCAGTTTTCCAAAGGGGCCCTTCAGAAAGGAGGAGGGATGAAAAAGGAGAAGATGAATCCATGTGTGTGTGTGTATGTGTGTGTGTGGGGGGGGTCTGTAGAGGGGCTGGCAAGGCAGCTGGAGGGGAGGGCCTGGCTGACTCAACCCTCTTACTGTCTCTGGGATGTATTTTTCGGTTATCGTTCATGACGGTTGGATATATTGCCCCAAACTGTACAGGTAGTACTAAGTAGATCTACAATCAGAATTGAGACAAAAATTTCTGTTCTTGACAGTTGCTGCACCCCATTTTTTGCCATAATTGGCAGGTCATATCCTACAGTTGTGAAGTTGTTTTGTGAATCCTCCAATGACTTTGTGGGACACCAGCTGGGAAGGTTACCAATACTGATGACGTGACCCTGGGACAGCACAGCCGTCATAAATACATGCCAGTGACTAAACGCCTGGATTTTGACCACATGACCACAGGGATGCTGGAACAGTCGAACGTGAGAAAACTGGTCAAGGCCACTTTTTTCAGTGCTGCTATAACTTCACTAAGTCACTAAGCAAATAGTTGTAGGTCAAGGACTATCTGTACAGTGCTTTAAAAATAATCCAAAATAGCCCCCAAATTGGAACCCACAAACTTTTTCCTGCAACAAATCTGCAAAACTAGCCCAATTTGGTAGAAAAACCGTTCAACTGCCCACACTGTTTCCCACTCGCATTTCAACTCAATCCCCAAACTGTCCTCCTAGACTCGGTTTGGCTTTTCAAGGAAAAGAAAATGCCATTCTTGATCTTTACCCTGATGTTCTCCTCAATAAAGTTCAATAAAGTTTTGCAAACTCAGAAGATATAAATATGGGAATTCTCAAATTCAAAATAAAATGTCTCATCCCACTGAAGAACTTTCCCTCCAGAAACTCAACTGGTTTCTAATCAGCTAGAAGCGATGCCTGACCAGGTTGTGCAGGATTGTCTGGGACACAACACATCCTCTCCACAACTGCTGGGAAGAGGCTCTGCGGTATCCGAAGCAGCACATTAGATTCAGTCAGTTTTCTTCCATATGAAGAAGTATCCACCTTGTGAACTCCCAAGTCTCTTGTTATGTAATCTAAATGGGCTGTGATTAATGTGTACGTAGCATATGTATGGGTATATATATATTCTTTTGAGAGTAGGCCTCAGAAGTCCATTCTTTAACTTCAAAGTCTAACAATCGGAGCAGCCCTCAACTGCAGCCCTTGGACAGGGATCAGGCAGGGATCTCGTCCACAGCTGCCCAGTTGAGAATCCAACACTCCTGAACCACTGACAGATGGACATCCAGACTCATACAAGGCCTCCCGCCCCTCCCAGGACAGCCTGCTCTGCTAGTTGCCATAAGAATGACCGACAGCAGTCAAACTCAGGCCTGGGACCCTGGGCATGGCCCTGGAAAACTAAAGGAATTTATTAAAAGAAAAAAATATATTAAATTTATTAAAACTTTTAATTGGATTTTATTACCTTTCTTGCCAGGCACTTGTGAGGTTTTTCTCCTGAGTGGATGCTAAGATGCCTTTGAAAATGGTCCTTTCTTTTGAAGGTTTTTCCACATTCCGGGCAGTGATATTTCTTTGCTTCCTCCTGGATCCTTTGGGGCTTTGGGGGTCTTCCGAAGGAGCCTCCGCCCTCCAGGCCCGTCTCGGGGTCTCCGCCCATTTCCTCCTCCCTGCATCGCCCTCCAGGCAGCCGCTTTCCCCGGGCTCCCCCTGGGCTCCTCCCTCCTGCAGCCCCGGAGCCCCCCGGCCTTTCCCCGCCGTCTGCCAGGGAAGCCACGCCGGGACCGGGCAGGGCTGCTCCGCGGGGCCCGCTCTCCTCCTCCTCCTCCTCCTGGGCGGCGCCTCTTTCCTGCATCCGCCGCCATCCTCCGTCCTCCTGCAGGGGAGAGAGAGAAGAGGGTCACGGCTGCCTCCCCTTCCCCTCAGAGGAGACCCAGGCCCAAGCCCCCCCTCGTGCGGACCCGAAAGAGACCCTCCCAGCATCCCCTGCGCCAAACCTGCATCATTTGTCACAGATCGAAGCAGCTTCCCTCGTTGCCCGTTTTGTTCCCGGAAGTGGAGGCTTCGCGCCCTTTTTCCTCCACTAGTTCCGCTTTTTCCTTCGGGGGATCCGCCCCTCGGAGTCCTCCTGCCAATCGCCAACCTCCCCAGAGCGACCAATCGGCGTCCGCCTTCCTTCAATCAGGCCCACGGCGCCTGCGCCCTGCCGAGGGGGTTGCTGGTCCTGCGCGAAGGTGAGGCGGGGGGGGAGGTCTCCCTTTGATCTTTGGGGTCCGGTGTTCTCCCCCTCCCCCCATCCAGGCAGGCGGAGGTTGGGGGGCCCTTCTGGGGCTGTGACGTTCCCTCCCCTCCCCCAACCGGCGTCTCTCCCTAGACAAGGCGGGGGGGGTGGAAATGGGGGGGGCACCCAGGCAGGCGGGGCTGAAGGGGCTCCTGGGGGTCTCCAGGCTTAGAGACCGAGGAGGCTCCTCCCTGCAGCTCCTGACCCCCCTTTCCCGCCTCTCCCCCCAAGGACCCCTTTGAAAATCTGCAGGGGGGGAAATCCCCCCCAGGACCCCCCCCCCATTAATATGTGGACCCCTTCAGCCTCTGCTGAGCCCCTGAGGTCGAAGCCTCCAGGAAGGCCCACCTTTCCCCCCCATTGCAGCCCCCCCAGCTCTGCCCCCCTCCCCTTAAATGCTCCATAGCTGGAGGACCCCCACCGCCTTGGGTTGGTGGGGGGGCTTTTCCTATTTAAATCCTGCGCCCCAAAGGCTGGAGGGGGTCCTGGCCCTGCTCCCCTCTTGCACTGCAGCTTCTCCTGGGCTGGGAGGGGATCCTGATTGAGCAACTCCATAAGTTTTTAAAGTTTTATGCCCCCCCTCCCTCTGGCCAAGAGCAACTTTTTAAGATTTGACATCATTTTAATGTTCTTGCTTTACCTGGGGAAATGTGTTGTTGAGCAGTAAGGTCCTGGGGTTTTTTAGGTGCACGAAAGACCAGTGATCTGATCCTCAGGGGTTTTTAGGGTTTGTAGGAAGTTCCCTTGTCAGCTAACAGAATAAGAACAACCGAGTGGGAAGGGGCCTCGGAGGTCCTCTAGTCTGTCCCCCTGCTCAAGCAGGAGAGCTTATCCAAAAAGTGCTTTTTCAAGAGGCAACTTCGTTTTCTTTGACTTTCCTTGAAGATGTTTCACTTCTCATCCAAGAAGCTTCTTCAGTTCTTCACCACCAAAGAAGCTTCTTGGATGAGAAGCGAAACGCCTTCAAAGGAAATCCAGCTGCCTCTTGAAAAAGCTCCTTTGGGACAACCCTGACCTGGATGATGGAGAAGCTCCAGAGACCTTCAGGAGGCCTGATAGTGGGAATATGCTGCCTTTGGAGGATCTGGGATGCTCTTTATTGGCTCTTTATGTTATTTTTCTACTCTTATTAAAGCACGTGTAGTTGTATAAATGTCATACTTACATACATTCCCCACAATTGAAATAAGGTATTCAATTCTGGGGGTCCGAGAAGCCGAAGACTGGGGGCAAGGGGGGTGGTGGCCAGTTGAGGGGGGCAACAGCTTCTCCCTTCTCTGCCCCTATTTTCAGGCCATGAGCCTTGACTCTGGGGCCAGAAGTACGGAAGCAATTGGGGAAGACTGGCTTGCAAAGGCCTCAAACGCTCCTGGCAGCTGTTCACACGTAAGGAGGGCTCGCATGAAAGGCCCGTGGCTCTTGGCGGGACAGAGGCCCACGAGTGGAAGTGGTGGAGGGCTCCGTCTCTGTAGCAGAAGGGAGAGTAGCCCCCGGTGCCATCCTTGCAGCCGGCAAATACAAATACCAGAGACATTACAGAGGCCTAATAACAGAATGTGTTTGTTACAGGAGATACATAAAGGCATAATATATGTGATTCAAATGCAAAGGCATATATGTATTACAGGAACCTCATGGTTACAGAATCTGGTATACCAGTATATCATATTCTAGTATTCTTTATTATATCCTTATTATTTTTTCCTTCAAAGCTATGCAATATTTTGTTTTCGTAGAACTCGTTCAAGGGAGACAGGATTTTGTCCTGGATTGCTGTATTACTTTGGGATTCAGAAAAAGTTGCCTTACCTAAGCAGAAATAATGGAGGGAGTTCACTTGGGATGATGGAAAAAAGCACAAAACAACATGGCAACACAAAGGGTGTGATGGGAAGTTCATCCAGAGCTACATTAATGAGTGGAGCTTCCGTGTCATCATATTCAATATGTATCATCATTTTCTTAGTACATGTTTATCTTTCCTCTTACATTTAAATTTAATGTATTGCAACATATTTCGCCCATATTTCTTATTTTTACACTTATTGTCTCTATCCATTGATAAAATTTCCCCCATATGCTGTAACACTCCGATTCTTCCTTCCCACTAATTGCTAATATTAATCTACTCATTTCTGCACATTCTAATATTTTCTTAATTAGCTCTCCCTTTGTAGGAATTTTTTCTGCTTCCCAATTTTGTGCAAATACCATTCTTGCTGCCTTTATTACATGTATAATCAAATATGTATTTTCTCTACTAAATTTATCCCGTAAGATACCCAACAGGAACAGCTCTGGTTTACGATCAATGTGTTGCTGTATCATTTTCTCTAGCCATATGCGAATTTTTGCCCAATAATTTCTCGCTTCTCGACATGTCCACCATATGTGATAGTACGATCCCGATGTCTGGTGGCATTTCCAACATTAAGCTGATTTATCTTTGAACATTTTTGCCAATCTATATCCGGTGACATGTGCCATCTATAAAACATGTCACCGGAAAGATTGGCAAAAATGTTTAAAGATAAACTTTGTTTAAATTTTTAAATAAATGTTGTACCAAGATGTTACACTGATTGATTAATGATGAATTGTTTGTTTAAAAATAAAAATATTTTTTTTCTCAAAAAAAAAGAGTGGAGCTTCCCTTGACAGAGGCAGTCTACATACAAAAATCTGCCTTCTGTGCCAAAATATGAGAACTGGGCAGCTTGAGTGATTGGTTTGGTCGCCTCCTTCACACATTTGCCTGGCACTGGTGGGTGTGGAAAAGGCGGAGCAGGTGAGCTTTGGGAGGAGGCCAAGGGAGGCCTGCCATCTCTGAGGGAATTCTGAGGGCTTCATGACCTCACCCATGCAGGCTCAACTGCCAGTTACTGTCAGTTATCAGAGTGAAGGTGCCTTCCAAGAGGTGGGTTGGTTTCTGAAGGGCTCCTGGACTCTGGGAAATCTTCCCTCTATTTGCAGCCAATTTACCAGAGTTGTATTGCAAGGGGGAAAATGCCCATTTGGCCTCTTACCTGCCTGGGTGCCCCTCCAACCTCCCCCCCACCTTGCCTAGGGAGGGAGCCTGGATGGGGGGGGGAGTCCCAGTCCCAGAAGGGCCCCTCAACCTGCCTCGTTTTCTATTACTTTTATTTATTGGTTGATCGTTTTAAATCATGTCTTAGTCTCCAAACTTCCAAAGGAAGGAACAGAGAGAAAAGAGAGACAAAGAGACAAGAAAGAAAGAGAAAGAAAGAAAGAAAGAAAGAAAAAGTAAGAAAGAGGAAGAGAGGGAGGGAGAGAGAAAGAGAAAGAGAGAGAAAGAAGAGGACGGAAGCACCACAAACCCTGACAGCAGACTTGGCTTCAGAAGACACTTTGAAACAGCCCAGCAATCTAGGGGTGGAAGGGATCTCGGAGGTCATCTGGTCCAACCCCCTGCTGCAGCAGGAAACCTGACATCTCTGGATTATTTTGGTGCCTCTAACAGAGAGGAAAATTCCCAGAAAGGAGAAGGACAAGGCTGCCATGCAGAGGAAGGCAGAGATAGTCCTGGATTTATGATCACAATTGAGCCCAAAATTATGGTGGCTAAGCAAGAGCGTTGTTAAGTGAGTTTCACCACATTTTACTCCATCCATGACATTCCCTGGACTAACAGTGAGTGACGTGCATCAAGTTGGCCACGCCCACCCGGTCACATGACCACCAAGCCACGCCCACCAAGCTACACCCACAGAACCCATAGGGAAAATGTTTGGATTTCATCCCTGAATGGGAGAGTCGGTCTGGGACCGTGGGGTTATCGGGGTCTCCCTTCTCAAGAGGGACCTGGTCTGCAGTTGAGGACAGTTCTGGGCGGCAGCAAAGAGACCAGACTAGAAAGGGGATTGAAAACAGACTGGAGACCTTGGCGTTTCTTGAGAGGTTTTCCAAACTTTCTGAGACGTTCAAAAGGCAAAAGAATCAGGAGTTGGGGAGCACCTATTTATGAAAAGGCAGATGCTTTCAGGAGCTGCAGCATGCAGCCCAACTCCTGATTTTTTTTAGGAGGGGGGAGCATAGAATTTCTCTTCAAAAGGCCGGAGTTTTGAAAGTACCACACAAGTAGGGGAACCAGGAGAAAAGATCCAAGCCAATTGCCCAGGGAAACGGCAACAAACTTTGTCTAATTCCACAGCTGCTGATTAACTTAGGACCTGGTTATTGACGGGACCGCCTGCTGCCACCAGTAGCCTCCCACTGGCCGGTACGCTCCCATAGAGAGGGGCTCCTCCGGGTGCCGTCGGCCAAACAATGTCGACTGGCGGCCCCCAGGGGGAGAGCCTTCTCTGTGGGGGCACCCACTATCTGGAACGAGCTCCCCCCCGGAGATTCGGAGGATCCCGGACCTACACACCTTCCGCCACGCTCTCAAGACCTTTTTATTCTACCAGGCTGGCCTGGCCTAATTCTCCCCTTTTTCCTTTTTAAAATGTAAATTTTAATCGGTTTTAAATTATTGGGGTGTTTTAAATTTGTCTACGGCCAAATTGTTTAATTCGGTTTTATTCTGCTTTTAAATTTTGTATTTATGTGTTTTAACTTGTGACTGTTCACCGCCCTGAGTCCTTCGGGAGTAGGGCGGTATATAAATTAAATAAAACGAACATAAACATTAAATTGAGGAATAAATTCCAAACCAACAGTCCACGATAAGCAAACAAATAAAAAAAAACCCTCCTCTCTACCTTCAAGGAAACCAGATTAAAAGAGGGCCAGAATCTGGCTAAAAACTTTTATTGTTTTGCCTGAAAATCCTTCAATGGGTTACTAAAAGAGAGGGCTCGCTGCAAATATATTACTTTTGGGATGGCCGCAATAGCTCTAGAGGTAGCCCGCATTTAACCATTTCTTATGGCAGTCCTGAATGAAGGGACAACCGGTCCTTGAAGTTATGGGCATTGCCAATGCTCTTGTGGCCAAGGAAGGAAAATTCCCTTTCTGCCTTTTTCCGCCATCTTGCTGCCCTGGCATCATGGTGCGCATGAATGTTCTGGCAGATGCCCTTCAAAGCATGAAGAATGCAGAGAAAGGGGAAAGTTCTCATCAGGCCCTGCTCCAAAATAATTGTCCGCTTCTTCACCGTGATGACGAAACACGGCTCCAGAGGTGAATTGGAGATAATTGATGACCACAGAGCTGGCAAAATTGTTGTGAGTTCCCTTTCTGCTGCCATGTTGTTTTGGGTTTTGTTCCATCCTCCCAGGTGAGCTCCCTCCGTTATTTCTCCTTAGGTGCAGACCCCTTTTTCTGACTCCCAAACTATTGGTAGATGGGGCCAAGTTTAAAGGCAGAGAGAGGGAGAAATTCTCTCCTCGGATTTTGAACTTCAGGCATCGTTTCTCAGACAGCAATCCAGACATAAAACGAAATCCTGTCTCCCTTGAAGAAGTTCTTCCAAAATCAAATCCTGCAGAGTTTAATGATGCTGAACCCCCAAGGCACATGACCCTCTTTTGCCCAAGTTCCAAGTGTTGAGGGATCCAGCAGTTAAAGGGACCCAGAAAGAAACCAAATTGGATCTTATCAAAATTGCCTGATTCCCTATTTCCTTTTTCCAACCATAATGTGTTGGAATGAGAGGAAATTCACATGCAGGAACCATTGGCAGGAGATTCTCACCCTTACGTCCTCTTTAACTGGAGCTGGTCTGCTTTTGGGCAGGAATTCAGAATTCTTATATCCAGGAACAAGAATTTTCCTGCATCAAATAGAGGCCATGTAGATGCTTCTTAAAAACACACTTGAGTGAGTCACACATAGCGAGTTTATTTATTTATTGGGAATTATTATTTCTACAAAGAAGGCGGAGAAGACATGCAGCAAAATGAAGGGGAATATTTGGAGCTGAGGGTTGAACTGAGGGGTCTCTGGAGCTCTCTGAGCCCCCTCCCTTTTAGCCATGAGGAAGGAAGCTACTTTGGGCAATGAAACCTCTGCAAGAAGAGAAGCCCCCAGGAGCCCCTCCCCCTCCCATCCAGCACAGCTTCCTCCTCTCTTCCCCGAACAACAACCCTGTGAGGTGGGCTGGACTGAAAAGGGAGCTGTGCAACCCTTGAACTCAGGGTCTCTTCATAACAACCGTGGGCACCGCGCAGGCGCAATCCAGGTGATTGAAGAAACAAAGACGCTGATTGGTCGCTCTGGAGACGGTGACGATTGGCAGGAGGATTCCTTGGGGCGGGCCCTCCAAAGGAACAAACGGAACTTTTGGAGGAAAAAGGGCGTGAAGCCTTCACTTCCGGAACTAAAACGGGCAATGAGGAATCGGTGACAGAGAAGCCAGGATGATGCAGGCTGGGCGCAGGGGATGCTGGGAGTTGAAGTCCGGGAGGGTCTCTCCGGAGAAGGCAGGTCTGGGAGCCCGAGGCCTAATCTTGAGGGCGGGGAGGGAGACGGGAGGCTGGGAAGGAGGCCGTGTCCGCTTGGCGAATGCCCGGGAGGCCCGTGGGAGGCGGGGGGGGCTTCGGCCTGGGCCTCCCCTGCGGGAAAAGGGACGCAGCCATGACCCTCTTCTCTCTCTCCCTGCAGGAGGACGGAGGATGGCGGCAGATGCAGGAAAGAGGCACCGCCCGAGAGGAGGAGGAGGAGAGCGGGCCCCACGGAGCAGCCCTGCCTGGTCCTGGCACGGCTTCCCTGGGAGACGGCGGGGAAAGGCCGGGGGCTCCGAGGCTGCAGGATGGAGGAGCCCAGGGGGAGCCCAGGAAAGGCGGCTTCCTGGAGGGCGATGCGGGGAGGAGGAAATGGGCGGAGACCCCGAGACGGGCCTGGAGGACGGAGGCTCCTTCGGAAGACCCCAAAAGTCTCAAAGGATCCAGGAGGGAGGAAAGAAATATCAGTGCCCGGAATGTGGAAAAACCTTCAAAACAAACGGAAATCTTGAAAACCATTTAAAAATCCACACAGCAGAGAAACCATTTAAATGCCCGGAATGTGAAAAATCCTTCAAAAGAAACGACCATCTTCAAAGGCATCTTAGCATCCACTCAGGAGAAAAACCTCACAAGTGCCTGGAGTGTGGAAAGAGCTTCAATCAGAGGAGCAGCCTTTATACACATCAAAGGATCCATTGGGGAGAGAAGCCTTATAATTGCCTGCAGTGTGGAAAGAACTTTCTTCATACCAGCAACCTTTTTAGACATCAAAGGATCCATTTGATAGAGAAACCGAAGAAATGCCTGGAGGGCGGAGGCTCCTTCGGAAGACCCGGGAATCCCCAAAGGATCCTGGAGGGAGGAAGGAAATATCAGTGCCCGGAATGTGGGAAAACCTTCAAACGTAATGGACAGCTTCAGAGCCACCTAAGGATCCATTCAGGAGAAAAGAAATACAAATGCCCAGAATGTGAAAAATCCTTCAAAAGAAATGACCATCTTCAAAGGCATCTAAGGATCCACTCAGGAGAAAAACCTCATAAATGCTTGGAGTGTGGAAAGAGCTTCAGTCAAAGGGGAAACCTTTATTCACATCAAAGACTCCATTTAGAAATCAGGTACCAATGCTGGCAATGTGAAAAATCCTTCAAAACAATTCAAATCCTTGAAAAACATGTAAGAATCCACTCATTAGAGAAACCATTTAAATGCCTGGAGTGTGGAAAGACCTTTGATCATTGGAGCAATTTTGATAGACATGAACAAATCCATTCAGAAGAAAAAAAATACGAATGCCCGGAATGTACAAAATCCTTTAAAAGAAACAGCCATCTTCAAAGGCATCTAATAATCCACTCAGGAGAAAAATCTCACAAATGCCTGGAGTGTGGAAGGAGCTTCAGTCAGAGGAGCAGCCTTTATAGACATCAAAGAGTCCATTTACAAGAAGAGTATGAATGTGGGGAATGTAAAAAATCCTTCAAAACAATTCAAATCCTTGAAAAACATCTAAGAATCCACAAGCCAAATATATGCCTGGAGTGTGGAAAGAGCTTCAGTCAAAGGGGAAGTCTTGATAGCCATCAAAGAATCCACACAGGAGAAAAACCCTACAAATGCCTGGAGTGTGGAAAGAGCTTCAGTAATGGTTCAAACTTCTGTCGACATCAAAGAGTCCACACAGGAGAAAAACCACATAAATGCCTGGAATGTGGAAAGTGTTTCAGTACGAGAGGAGCTCTGTATGGACATAAAATGATTCACACAGGAGAAAAACCGCATAAATGTCTGCAGTGTGGAAAGAGCTTCAGTCAGAAAGGAACCCTTGACGGACATCAAAGAATCCACTCAGGAGAAAAACCCTACAAATGCCTGGAGTGTGGAAAGAGCTTTATTGAGCGTAGTAGCCTCCGTCGACACCAAAGTGTCCACACAGGAGAAAAACCACATAAATGCCTCGAATGTGGAAACTGTTTCAGTCGGAGAGGACATCTTAAGAGACATCAAAGAATCCACTCGTGGGAGAAACCATATAAATGTCTGGAGTGTGGAAAAAGCTTCGGTCAGAGAGGAAAACTTTCACTCCATCAAAAAATCCATTCCGGAGAAAAACCACATTAATGCCTGGAGTGTGGAAAGAGCTATACTCAGCGTAGGGGCCTCCATCGATTCATGCGGGAGAAAAATTATAAACATGAGTTTGAAAAACCTTCAGTCCCAGAGTGTATCTCAGGAATTGAATTGAATTGCGCATTAAATCTGGCCAAGTGTGAATAGGCACACTAGGAATTTGTCTTAAGCTCTCAGTGTACATACAAAGCAACAGAATAATGATATTCATGATAATTAGAATAATTCCAATTGAGAGTCGAATAAAGTAGATATTAAGAATGGTAAATAATAACTGCCAAATAAGGGACTTTCCCAGGCTGAATAATAAAGGACTTTTTCAATTGTACATATGAGATGTTTCAACTGGCTGAAATTGAACCTTTTCACAACAGACTTTCCTGACTCATGATGCCATTTCCCATCTGGACGTTCTTTTAATGCAAGGCTCATTATTGTAATATGGGATGTTAATTTCCACGTCTCTGATGTAGCTGTAACTGAGCAAGGTGATTTCTTCCAGGGTGGATTTGATTTAAATCAGGTTGATTTAAATCACGATTTAATTTATTATACAAATCACTAGCAAAAAGGCCCATGGTTACTGTGAAATTGTGTGAATGTATCAATACAGTGCATGTTATCTCAGTTTGCAGAACTTGGATTCATTGAATGAGTTTTCCAGAAATTTAAATATTGCAGAAAATACCCTTTCATGCTTCATAACTAAGCTCCATTTCATGCTGAATAAACTAAATTGTTAATACATCTAAAATATAGAACGATCTTTAGATAGATTTTTACATCAAAAGCATTTTATTGAAATGAATTTGCTAAAAATAAAAAACCCGATTTCAATAAAAAAATCTATTTTTAAAAAAAAATTAAATTGATTTCTATCCACTGATTTCTTCTAAGCAATCAACTGTTGTTTTGTACTTTTTCTACTGTCTGGAGTATAAAATGAAACCTGATTCTTTGTCCTGGATTCCTTCTTTTCATTGAGGGAAATCTCTTTGTTACAATACTCTTAATAAGTTGCCTTTAAATGCTCATCCCATTCAGAGCCTAATTGGAGCAAGTGTGCTGTGGCTGAATCTAGGACTCATTTGGCCTTCATTGTTGGGGGTTGTTAAAGAGCTTCTCCCTGCCATTGTTTGATATAATTATGTGGATTTCCCAAATGTGGGGACCTATTAAGACCATCTCCAAGCATCTGAAGCTCTCAGTTGGATTCCCTGAATGGTCCCCTTGTCTTCCAGCAGAAACCCCTACAAGGGATTCTCTAAGGCCAAGGAAGCTTTGGGAGATATGAGCCATATTCTTAAAAAGCCCCCACCCTTTTAGCCTTAAACTCCTGGCTCTTCCCCAGATTTTGGGAGGTCAGACAATGAGAAGGTGGCATGGATTGGTGCCAGGTTTTTGTTTGTTTCTTTGTTTTTGAAACGGCTTTTTGGGAGCTGCACAGAGTTGACTGAAAGATGGGCAGTTATAAGAATGTTTTAAAGGACTCATTAGGGCCCTCTGATCCCCCACTAGGTGCAGAGACTAGGTGTTCCCCAGTTGTCAGGATAGCAAGAGTCCCCCATTACTATGTTTTCTGTTCATCAGCTAAATCAGCGTCCGCCTTCCTTCAAGCAGCCAGAGGGTGCCTGCAGAAGTCCCGAGTCCCACATGGAGGTGAGGGTGGGGGAGGGCTCCCTTTGATCTTTGGGGTCCAGTCTCTCACCCCCCCCCCCCCCGCATTCAGGCAGGCCGAGGTTGAGGGAGCCTTCTTTGACATTTTAATGTTCTTGTTTTGCACCAAAGACCTGAGGGGATCTGATGCTGGAGCCCAGTGAGGTTCTCAAGCTGTTTTTAGGTGTATGTAGGAAGTTCCCTTCTCGGCTAACACAATAAGAACAACTGAGCTGGAAGGGAGCTTGGAGGAGGCTCATGCAGGAGGCCTTATTCCAAAGGTGCTTTTTCAAGAGGCAACTGGACTTCATTTGCTTTTCTTTGAAGATGTTTCACTTCTCATCCAAGAGGCTTCTTCAGTTCTGACATCTCCAGGCAGAGTTGAAGAAGCTTCATGGATGAGAAGCAAAACGCCTTCAAAGGAAAACCAGGAAGTCCAGTTGCCTCTTGAAAAATTTAAAAGTGCACATATTTTTATTTAAAAGCACACATATAAACCGGGGGAAACCAGGCTTAATAGCAGTGACTGTGAGAGGGATCTTGGAGTCTTAGTGGACAATCAATTAAATATGAGCCAACACCGTGTAGCAGTAGCCAAAAAGCCAATGCAATCCTACATTGCATTACAATCAAGATCAAGTGAGGTCCTACTACCACTCTATAAAGCTTTAGTAAGACCACACCTAGAATTCTGCATCCAGTTTTGGTCACCACACTATAAAAAAGAAGTTGAGATGCTAGAAAGAGTGCAGAGAAGAGCAACCAGGGTGATGAGGGGACTGGAGGCTAAAACATACGATGAGGTTGCAGGAACTGGGCCTGGCTAGTCTAGTGAAGAGAAGAGAAGGACCAGGGGAAACACAATAAAAATCTTCCAATATTTGAGGGGCTGCCACTGAGAGGAGGGGTCAAGCTATTCTCCAAAGCACCCGAAGGCCAGACAAGGAGTAATGGACGGAAACTGACCCAGGAGGGATTCAACCTAGAAATGAGGAGGAACTTTCTGGCAGAACAGTCAACCCATGGAACAGAAGTTGTGGGAGCTTCATCACGGGAGGCTTTCAAGAAGAGCCTGGGCTGCCATCTGTCAGAAATGGTGTAGGGTCTCCTGCTTGTGCGGGGGGTTGGACTAGATGACCTATAAGGTCCCTTCCAACTCTGTTAATCTGTTAATTTTTCTCTTGCAAGCCACCCAGTCATTGGGATTGGGCTGCTCTCCAAATTTATTAAAAGATCCCCCAAATTTCCTGCCCTTGGAAACATCCCTCAGAGGGTCCTGGCTTCTCTTTCAGGTATGCAGGACACAGTCTCCAAAAACTATTTCCAATGTGGTTTATCATCATGGAGTCGTGATAGTGAAATGCAACAACCATCATATATGAATATATAAAGAGTAATTTCTTCTCCTTTGGCCCCATAGATATATCTCCTATTGCCTTCTCTCGCTCAGGCTTCCCCATAGATATCTCCTATCCCCTTCTCTCCCTCAGGCTTCCCCATAGATCCTCCCGTCTCCCCTTCTCTCCCTCAGGCTGGCCCCATAGATATCTCTCCTATCCCCTTCTCTCCCTCAGGCTTCCCCACAGATCTCCTCCTATCCCCTTCTCTCCCTCAGGCTAGCCCCATAGATCTCCTCCTATCCCCTTCTCTCCCTCAGGCTTCTCCACAGATCTCCTCCTATCCCCTTCTCTCCCTCAGGCTGGCCCCATAGATACCTCTCCTCTCCCCTTCTCTCCCTCAGGCTGCCCCATAGATATCTCTCCTATCCCCTTCTCTCCCTCAGGCTGGCCCCATAGATATCTCTCCTCTCCCCTTCTCTCCCTCAGGCTTCCCCATAGATCTCCTCTTATCCCCTTCTCTCCCTCAGGCTTCCCCACAGATCTCCTCCTATCCCCTTCTCTCCCTCAGGCTTCTCCACAGGTCTCCTCCTATCCCCTTCTCTCACTCAGGCTGGCCCCATAGATCCTCCCCTCTCCCCTTCTCTCCCTCAGGCTAGCCCCATAGATCTCCTCCTATCCGCTTCTCTCCCTCAGGCTAGCCCCATAGATCCTCCCCTTCCCCTTCTCTCCCTCAGCTAGCCCCATAGATCTCCTCCTATCCCCTTCTCTCCCTCAGGCTTCCCCATAGATATCTCTCCTATCCCCTTCTCTCCCTCAGGCTTCCCCATAGATATCTCTCCTATCCCCTTCTCTCCCTCAGACTTTCCCATAGATCTCCTCCTATCCCCTTCTCTCCCTCAGGCTGGCCCCATAGATCTCTCTCCTATCCCCTTCTCTCCCTCAGGCGTTCTAGACTCTTCTCTCCATGAGGCTTTGCCAGCAGAGGCCTCCCCTATCCTATCCCCTTCTTTCCAGTTATTTTCAAGTTGGGAAGGGGAGTTGAACGTCTAACTAATTGGCATCAGAGCATGTTATAATAATATAGGAAATATTAATGCTCCGAAAAATCCTTTCTTAGTGAGCACCTAGAAGCCAAGAGGAACGTAGGTGGCAAATTTTAACCTTGTAGGCTTTACGGTTCTGGAGATTTCGTGATTAACGTGTGAGTGGTTTTTGCTATATATATATAATTAGTATCCTGCACTGGATACTTTGGCTCCTCTGGATAACTTTGAACATCAGCTCACAGATGTTCTATGCAACCAGCCTCCCCCCCCACCATCTCCTCTCCCCCAGCAAAAACAACCCTTGGGAAAAGGCCTAGAGCAGAGGAGGAGAGGACTGAGCAAAGTCTAAGAAGGCAAGTGGATTCACAGCAAGTTAAACGGACTGTGTGATGCTGTTGTCTCACATTTTACGCTTCATCACGAATTTAAAACGACATATTTAGCCAGCGGTGAAATCCCCCCCCCCGATTCTTTCCGGTAGTGCCAGCAGCAGAACCCCTGGGATGTCATTACGTCCCTTTTTTTACCAACTGTGCATGCACAGAAGAAGCGCACGTGCGTGAAAAGCTCTTGTTCCCGAACCGGTAGCGAAGGTAAGTGGATTTCACCCCTGTATTTAGCCCTTTGAACATGGCAGTCTGCCTCTTTTTTCAGGTTAAGTATACATGTTTTTCCCTTCTGGACTAAGGCTCTTTATTTGATATGTGAGAACAAAAGTATTCTGAAAGTCTTTGAATACATGTGCAACTTTCAAGAAAGACACAAACCCAGCTACGAAAGACTAATGCAACCCATAAATTTGTCCCTTGTGGGATGTTATCTAGAATCAATGTTTTCTGTTGTTCGAATTTCATAAGCAATCGGTGTATTCAACATTTCATCACTTGTTTACTGACACTGAATACATGTATCATTTCTTTCTGTACCCTCTTTAAAAACATGAATGTTTTTGCTTTGCTTGAATTAACTGATGATCTGTATTTTCAGGTGGGCAAAGAAACACATTTGCAAAGGTAAAAGTTTCAAATTCAGGAAATCAAGTCCTTTTCAGCTCCACACCAAACTTGGTGCCTGAGTTTGGAGATTAAAACATGATTCAAATTCATCAACCAATAATTAAAAGTAACAGGAAAAACAGCCGGGTGTTCTCATTTTCTCTCTGCTTCCCTTTCCTAAGAAGAGGCCAAATGGGCATTTTCACTCTCGCAATGCAATTCTGATAAATTGGCTGCAAATAGAGGGAAGATTTCCCAGAGTCCAGGAGCCCTTCTGAAGACTGACTAACCTCTTGAAGGCACCTTCACTCTGACAACTGACAGTAACTGGCAGTTTAGCCTGCATGGATGAGGTCATAAAGCCCTCAGAATTCCCTAAGAGATGGCAGGTTCCCTATGAAACTTCACCTGCTCCACCTTTTCTTTCCAATGCCAGGCAAATGTCTGTAGGAGGCAACCAGACAAATCACTCAAGCTGCCCATTTCTCATCTTTTTGCACAAAATGCAGATTTTTGGATGTAGACTGCCTCTGCCAAAGGAAGCTCTACACATTATTTATTTATTTATTTATTTATTTGTTTGAATTTCTATACCGCCCTACTCCCGAAGGACTCAGGGCGGTGCACAGCCATGAGATAAAACACATAGATATACAAAATTTAAAATCGAATAAAATGAATTAAATAAATTTGGCTGAATTAATACCCATAATTTAAGATACCCATATTTTACAATACATTAAAAATTTAGAATTTACACTTAAAAGGGAGAAGATTTAGGCGAGGCCAGCTTGATGAAATAAAAGCGTCTTCAACTCGCGGCGGA